ATATGACAATGTAATGGAAACGTATTTTGGCAATGTAGAAAACACATCCTTCTTCATTCAGTTCAGCTCCTTTTTTCTTTTCTTAGTTAAACTCCAGTGCCTAAACATCAACACTCCCCCTTGCTGTTGCTGCTCTGCTTCTCTATGTTGGTTGCTACCAGGCAAGAATTATGTCTTCTGGTTGCTGGTGTTAATTACTCAATTTTCTCCATAAATAGCTACATCCCTGTGGTATAAACGTATTTTGACTTAGATAATATTATTCGAAGGAAAAGGAATTGGAAAATGTAGAAGAAGAAATAATTGACTGAGTTTTTGTTTTCGGTTAGTAAGCTCAAGGTGAAGTTGGAATCTGACAGAGTGTGTGTTATTAAAAAATCATTTCAGATATTACTTGGGCCTATCAGTTGGCTAATGGTGTCAGAGATTTTCCCACTTCGTACAAGAGGAAAAGGCATCAGTCTTGCAGTGCTTACTAACTTTGGTTCAAATGCTATTGTTACCTTTGCATTCTCGCCATTGAAGGTATTCATCCAATTTCTAGCAATCTATTCCTCTCAAAAGTTCTTCGTTCATTGTCCTTGATTCCTATTTTTGTTCAGCTGGTTTAGTGATGATCAGCATTAACATTCGCTAATTCTGCAGGAGTTGCTGGGAGCGGGGAACCTTTTTGTTAGAACCAGGATATTGACTGCCAATTAACTTCAAGGAGTGTATTAATGCCACTTTCTTAAAGGAAATTTCGCCCCTTTATAGTGCAAATAGGATCAACGAATTTCTTTAGGATACAATGAAGAACTTGCTTGTGTTATGCACAAAATATAAGCAGACTTGAGAGAGTTTTGGTCATACTAGAATTGTAATCTTATTTGTTGTGTACTTTTACAGAAAATCTTAGTTCTTAAATAGGATTGTTGGTACATTTGAAAGAGAAGATACCTTTTGAAAAACCCTTTAAGATGTGGACGCAACCTTCAGAAGGTACATGATCTTTTGAAGATACATGACCTTATGAAAATAGACATACCCCATTAGGAAAAATGTCTTACGCTTTTCCTCCTTTTTGGTGCCATTGCCTTGTTATCCGTTTTGTTCATAGTCCTCATTGTCCCAGAGACTAAAGTTTTAAGATTGGAAGAAACTGAATCTAAAGTTTTGAAGTGAAACCTCACGAGGCACCAGTATACCAAATATTATATTTTTATTTTTACGTTTAACTTAGAGATTGTTTTCTTTCATTTGATGTTATTTCATTAACTCAGTTGTAGAAATTCCAAGTGTCTTCATGTTATGGTATTGATGCATGATGAGTATGAATAAATTATGCTAACTGGGTCTATCTGAGTTATGTGTAAAAATGAATTTTTTACTTGGTATCTAATATTTGGTTTGTCTGTATGCAATTCATGAAAAAACAGAAAACCATACTGTAATAGAGCAATGTATTCTTTTTGGTGGATTTATTATTGTCATGTTTGAAAGTTTAAAATGCTAAAGGAAGGATATCTGCAATGTTTTAAGCATCTATGATGCAGCAGACAGTAATGCGTGAACGGATTGGCAATGGAGGTTCAGTCTTAGGCTCAACCTCTTCGGGCAGTCTGAAGAAATTTAGTGCATGTTTGAGATTGATGTAGCTTATTAATCAACTATGAGTGAGAGTGGTATGTGACTAAGTTTAAAGCTAAAACAATCTTAAATTGGCCCTTAGTTCAAGATTCACCTACAACATTGAAAATAGTTAAAATTACTAAATTGTTCTCATATCTTTTTAAGGCAAACCAAGCAACTTGATTGTGACCTCTGGGATTACTTTTTAACTTTTATTGGGTTATATTATAGCTATTCTAACATAGATATGGAGTCAGCCATTGTGTTCAATTGAAATCAGATTGACTTACAGAATACAGTGACAAGCAGAATTAAGACAAGAACTACCAGTTTGAGAAATTCTCAGAAAGTTGTAGATTGGTCCAAAGAAAGCTGTCATTACATGCAAGATATTTGATTCAACGACCTTCAGTGAGGATTGAAAAACTATTACTTTCGAATAACGAAGGAAGTGACATTACACTACTAGAAGCTTCATTATTAGTTATGAACACATCAATTGAACTGCTATCAGGTGATATATCTGGCAATGTAGCATCGCCGTCAAGATACTGCATCACCTGCCTCATGTTAGGCCTGACTGCGGGGTTAGGGTGTGAACAAAACAGCCCTAGTTTCAGTATCAACTCCATTTGCTCCTCTGCATAAATACCTTCTAATCTTGGATCACTGACATCGAGGATAGCTCCTCTTTTGCAGCAATTGATTATCCATTCAACCAAATATACCACTCCATAACCTTGTTGCTCTATAGGCCGCCTTCCACAAGCCACCTCAAGCATGAAAGCCCCAAAAGCAAATACATCTGTGCTGGTAGTTGCCTTTCCAGTTCTAATAAATTCAGGAGCCAAATAACCGACAGTTCCCACAAGGTTCGTGGTTTGTGAATTGCTACCATGATCATGTAGTTTAGCTAGGCCAAAATCACCTAACCTCCCATTTAGTTCGGCATCCAATAGAACATTACCCGGTTTTATATCTCTATGTAGAACAACTTGTTCCCATTCTTCATGGAGGTAAAGAAGGCCAGAAGCTATTCCTCTAATGACTCGAAATCGCTGAAACCAATTAAGACTTGTGATCTGTATGCTGTATAATAATGGTCCAGGCTTCCGTTGGCATTAATCATAGACCAAAAATAAATCTCCCTTTCGCCTGCAATAGCACGGAGTTGCACCAAGTTCCTATGCCTTAGCCTTCCCATGCTTATTATTCGGCCACAATTCCTTCATTCCTTGATTCGAACCATGAGAGACTCTCTTGACTGCAAATGTTCATTAGAAGGAAGGACGCCTCTAAAACCTTTCCAAAACCTCCTTTTCCTAAAGCCTGTGTCCTTGACATTTGGTTGCTTTGTAGAGATTCTTATAGGGGAACCTTTGAGGACCATATTCCCTTCCCAGTCTCATATCTTCTTCATATTTCTTCCTCCATACAATGTAAGAAGCTACAATTAATACTATCACAACACAGCCACAGCACTGCCACTACAACCAAAACAATCATCAGTAGCTGCTCTCTTACTTGCTTTCCCGTGTGCAGGACAGGAGGAAGCTTGGAGACTCAAGGTTTTGTGCTTGTCCGCTTCTGCTGAAGCTCCATCCAGAACTAATGGTCACTTGTAACTTGCCAGTTGCTGCTGAGAAACCAACATACATAGAGTCCAAGAGTACTTCAGAAAGATTGACAGGTGTTGACAAGAGAGGTTTTGGTTTTGCGATTCCATTAGAGAGAGAGTGTCACATCGAGTAATTTTTCAGCACCATCGTCAGTCCAAACCTGGATTGGATCTCCACTCATGAGCTCCAAGCTTTTGTTCCGCCCTTCTTCATCCGAACAATAAGTTGCTGTAGCAGACTTCGAAACCAGCCGTTCACATCAATTCCCACATGGTTTATCTATGTCATAAGCTGTACGGCTTTGTACAGTATCAAACTCGATCGCTAAGATGGTGGCGGCCATGTTTGAAGATGAAGAGTCCCAAATAACGACCCGCATCCCGCCAGAAGTTCATAGACGGTGAGATGACAAAGCCATGCCATGGCCCACCAACTATTAACGGGCTTGAGTGGGAAATAATGGGGCAAAAACAAAATTCGTGGAAAAGGAAAGAGTTTCAGGTGAAGATGTGTTGAATTTGAATGGGGATGGATAAAAAGCATGACCAGTTTGCCTCCCAGAAGTGTTGGTTAGCTGCAATAGACCATTGGGATGGATTTCTGAGAATTCACCCAGATGTAATTTGGCTTCCTGGAAGCCATTATTGTAGATGAACTCGTTTTCATTTTGAGAAAAGCACAAGAAAGTGAAGGATAAATTGAAAAGCATCCAAACGTAAACCGATCTTAGAGCTGCAGCCATCACAAGAAATAAATAAAAAATAGAAAAATAAAAAGGTGAAAATATTTTGTAGAGAGGAAACAAATTTTGCCGCTAGTTTGATTGTTGAATGTTTACAGATAAGACATTTGTGTTCCTTGCATGCAAGAACAATGCAGAAGAATAAATTTGAAAAATCAACTTAAGAAATACTCTATTAATATAAATAAGTGAGAACAATTTGTATTCATAACTGTTATATATGAAGTTAAAAACTCAAATTATAAGCCACAATAACTTGATGAATGTGCACTGGTGAACTCTCACGACTATTCAAAAGCATGTCAGTTAAACCAAATAAATTTGAGCTTAAAACGATGACTGGACTAATTGTACATTTATAACTTTGATAAGAACTTCCTTGCTGTGTTATATGGTGAGGAAAATTGGTGTTTTAGTCTACAATTATGAATCTAGTTTTGAGTTTTCTGCCGTGAATGATACTTGGGTCCAACGCAGGAGCCAAGCTTGATGTTACAGCCTGCAGGGAAGAGCAAAGGTTGAAGAAAAAATCTAATAAAATATATCGCTGTTTGATTGTTCAATGGCTCTAATCAATGCTTAAGACAAAGACTTGACTCATTGTATTGTTGTGTCTGCGGAGAAATTTGGTTTATTGGTGTAAGTTCATTCAAAGTCGACAACCAATTAAACGATCCCAATTGACTCATAAATTCAAATTCAAAGTTCTTGGCGTGTGTGATACTTGAATCCAACAATAATTTAGCAGCGAAGCTGATTATTTTAGCCAAACTTTAATGTTATAGACGAAAGCAAAGGCCAAGAAAATTGTTATAGAAAAAGAATATCTTTATTATTGCACTTCATAACTAAATAATTTTTTCTTTTAGATCTTGTTATGTTTCAATTACAGTAACTTGAAAATCCTAACTGTGCTCCTGATTATGCTCAAAGATTAATAAACCCAACTCCTTAATATAAATTTGAACAGTTTCCTTCATAGCATATTGAGAGTTGAACATGATCTTAATAAACCTTATTCTATAGGTGGCTGGAACATTAAATTTTAAAACAAAGGAAAATTACTCATGCAGTTGCAGTAGCCTCTCACCATGTCTTGGAGTTTGAAGAAGTTTGTTGTTGATAAAATGCAGCTGGGCTGTAAAATCATCCATGTTCGTCCTTTCAATTGGAAACTCTGAAGAACAAGCGACTCTGATTCCAAATATCGAAATCAAGTACTCCCGAATATTGCTACTTCTCATGCTTGTATGTCCTTTTTCCGTTTCCTGAAGAACTGGATCCACTATTTCAGTGGTAGATGCCTTTAGTTGGTGGAGAAAATAATGGTCTGTTTTTCTGAATTATTTGTTTGACTACACTACAGGCGCTTTCCTTAGTTCTGCAATCTGCATATTACAAAGTACTTGGAGGACTCCCCCTTGCTGTTGCTGCTCTGCTTCTCTATGTTGGTTGCTACCAGGCAAGAATTATGTCTTCTGTTTGCTTGTGTTAGTTAATCAATTTTCTCCATAACTAGCTACATCCCTGTGATATAAACGTATATTGACTTAGATAATATTATTCTAAGAAAAAGGAATTGGAAAATGTAGAAGAAGAAAGAATTGACTGAGTTTTTGTTTTCAGTTAGCTCAAGGTGAAGGTTGAATCTGATAGAGTGTTTGTTGTTTAAAAATCATTTCAGATATCATTTGGGCCTATCAGTTGGCTAATGGTGTCAGAGATTTTCCCCCTTCGTACAAGAGGAAAAGGCATCAGTCTTGCAGTGCTTACTAACTTTGGTTCAAATGCTATTGGTACCTTTGCATTCTCGCCATTGAATGTATTCATCCAATTTCTAGCAATCTATTCCTCTAAAAAATTCTTCGTTCATTGTCCTTGATTCCTATTTTTGATCAACTGTTTTAGTGATGATCTGCATTAACATTTGCTAATTCTGCAGGAGTTGCTGGGAGCAGGGAACCTTTTCCTCCTTCTGGTGAATAGCCTTGTTATCAGTTTTGTTCATAGTCCTCATTGTCCATGAGACCAAAGGTTTGAGCTTGGAAGAAATTGAATCTAAAATTTTGAAGTGAACCCTGACAAGGCACCAGTATACCAAAGATTATATTTGTATTTTTACATGTAACTTAGAGATTGTTTTCTTTCATTTTATGTTATTTAATTAGCCCAGTTGAGAAATTCCAAGTGTCTTCATATTATGGTATTGATCCATCATGAGTATGAATAAATTATGCTAACTGGGTCTATATGAATTATGTATAAAAATGAAATTTTGTTTTGATATTGGTACTTAATGAAATCATTGCGCATTGTTGTTTTACTTGGCATCTAATATTTGGTTTGTCTGTATGCAATTCATTGAAAAACAGAAAACCATATTGCTCTGGAGTAATGTATTCTTTTTGGTGGATTTGTTATTGTGTCTGTTTGAAAGTTTAAAATGCCAACAGAAGGATATCTGCAATGTTTTAAACATCTATGATGCAGTAGACATTATTGCTTGAACGGATTGGCAGTGGAGGACCAGTCCTAGCTAGGCTCAAACTCTTCGGGCAGTTGTTTGAAGAAATTTAGTACATGTTTGAGATTGTCGTAGCTTGTACATTAGTCACTTCATAATCTACAATAAGACTATGAGTAAGAGTGGTATGTGATTAAGTTTTAAGCTACAACAATCTCAAATGGGCCCTTAGTTCAAGAATCACCTACAATATTGAAACAAGCCTGTGAGTACGAAGCAAAATAGTTAAATTACTAAATTGTTCTCATATCTTTTAAGGCAAACCATGACACTTGATTATGACCCCTGGGATTGCTTTTTAACTTTTCTTGGTTATATTATAGCTATTCCAACATAGATATGGAGCCAGCCGCTGTGTTCAATTGAAATCAGATTGACTTACAGAATAGAGTAACAAGTAGAATTAATACAAGAAAATACAAGAATTACCAGTTTGAGAAATTCTCAGAAAGCTGTAGATTGGTCCAAAGACAGCCGTCATTGCATGTCAGATATTTGTTTTAACGACCTTCTGTGAGGTTTGAATCACAAGTAGACATGGTCTGAATAGAACTACTTTCGAACAATGAAGGAAATGACATTACACTAGTACTAGAAGCTTCATTACCTGTTATGAACACATCAATTGAACTGCTATCAGGTGCTATACCTGGCAGTGTAGCATCGCCGTCCAGATACTGCATCGCCTGCCTCATGTTAGGCCTAGCTGCGGGGTTAGGGTGTGAACAAAACAGTCCCAGTTTCAGTACCAACTCCATTTGCTCCTCTGCATAAATACCTTCTAATCTTGGATCACTTGCATCGATGATAGCTCCTCTTTTCCAGCAATTGATTATCCATTCAACCAAATATACCACTCCATAACCTTGTTGCTCTATAGGCCTCCTTCCACAAGCCACCTCAAGCATGAAAGCCCCAAAAGCAAATACATCCGTGCCGGTAGTTGCCTTTCCAGTTCTAATGAGCTCTGGAGCCAAATAACCTACAGTTCCCACAAGGTTAGTGGTTTGCGGATTGCTATCGTGGTCATATAGTTTTGCTAAGCCAAAATCACCTAACCTCCCATTTAGTTCCGCATCTAAAAGAACATTGCCCGGTTTTATATCTCTATGTAGAACAACTTGTTCCCATTCTTCATGCAGGTAGAGAAGGCCAGAAGCTATTCCTCTAATGATTCGAAATCGCTGAAACCAATTAAGATTTGGCTCTGTATTGCTGTATAATAATTTGTCCAGGCTTCCGTTTGGCATATAATCATAGACCAAAATAAATTCTCCCTTTCGCCTGCAATAGCCGCGGAGTTGCACCAAGTTCCTATGCCTTAGCCTTCCCATGCTTATTATTTCGGCCACAAATTCCTTCATTCCTTGATTCGAACCATGAGAGACTCTCTTGACTGCAATTTGTTCATTAGAAGGAAGGACGCCTCTATAAACCTTTCCAAAACCTCCTTTTCCTATAAGCTCTGTGTCCTTGAAACCTTTGGTTGCTTTGTAGAGATTCTTATAGGGGAACCTTTGAGGACCATATTCCCTTTCCCAGTCTTCATATACTTCTTCATATTTCTTCCTCCATACAATGTAAGCAGCTACAATTAATACTATCAACAACACAGCCACAGCCACTGCTACTACAACCAAAACAATCATCAGTAGTCCTGGTTTCTTACTTGCTTTCCCGTGTGCAGGAACAGGAGGAAGCTTGGAGACATCAAGGTTTTGTGCTTGTCCGCTTCTGTTGAAGCTCCATCCTAGAATATAATGGTCACTTGTAATTGTGCCAGTTGCTGCTGAGAAACCGACATACATAGAGTCCAAGAGAACTTCAGAAAGATTGAGGGGCGTTGACAAGAGAGGTCTTTCTGGTTTTGCGATTCCAATAGGAGAGAGAGTCACATTGAGTAATTTTTCAGCACCATCGTAGTCTATCCAAACCTGTATTGGATCTCCACTCATGAGCACTAAGCTTTTGTTCTTCCGTTCTTCATTCGAATAATAAGTTGCTGTAGCAGATTCATTAGAATCCAAACCGTTCACATCAATTCCCACATGGTTTCCATCAATGTCAGAAAATTCAGGGCTTTGTACAGTATCAACCTCGACCGCTAAGATGTGGTTTGTAGGCTTGCCAATGTTTGCAAGATTGAAGAGTCCCAAATAATGACCCGCAATAGCGTCAGTAAAGTTCATAGACGGTGAGATGACAAAAGCTATGCCGTGGCCTCCACTATTAACCGACTCTGGAACTATGGCGAAAACAAAATTCGTGGAAAAGGAAAGAGATTCAGGGGAAGATGTGTTGAATTTGAATGGGAATGGATGTAAAGCATGACCCGTCTTTAGCTCAGAAGTATTGGTTAGCTGCAATAGACCATTGGGGTGGATTTTTGAGATTTCATCCAGTTGTAGATTGGCTTCATTGAAGCCATTATTGTAGATGAACTCGTTTTCATTTTGAGATGAGCACAAGTAAATAAAGGATAAACAGAAAAGCATCCAAACGTGAACTGATCTAAGAGCTGCAGCCATCACAAGAATGAAAAAAAAAAAAATAAATAAAAAGGTGGTGATAAGATTTTGTGTAGAGGAAACAAATTTTGCTGCTAGTTTGATTGTTTCAACTTCCTGAGAGCTGAATATTTGTTATTTAAAGTACATTAAAAGATCAAGTACGTCTCTTAGGCCTTGATGATCCTAATATCAAACAAGCTTACCTAAGCTCCATTCCAGAGTCTCTCTCTCAAGAAACCCAACGCTTGCTTGAACAATATGGGTTTACTTTGGCCACCTTGGGTGTCACCGGGTAAAACCAAGCGGCTCCACATATGTAAAATTCAATGCATGTGCCTTGAGCTGATCAAATCTTCCACTTGTGAACTTGAAAATGAAAGTTTGAATCTTCTGTTTGTTTTGAATAATCTTATTTGCAAACAGTGGTGGGTCAAAAAAGTCATACTCTGAAAACATTGGATAATCATCTCATCGCCAATTGTATCAAATAAATCTTTCTCAATGTAGGTGACCAAGCAATCATTCATCCATTGATCTCTCATTCGATTGCGTAACCGACTTTTCACAAGATTCATTGCAGAAAAAGCTCTTTCAACAATCGCAGTCGCAATCGCAACTAGTAAAACTAATGCAAGTTTTACAAGTTTATACACCAACGGATAAAAAATGTATTTTTTAAACCAAACTAAATTCTTAGCCAAATCACCAATTCCTTGTAACTCAGCAAATTCATCACAAGAACGCATGTCAATTACATAAGTCTTAGCCAAGTTCTCAAGTACCATCAACTCAAGTGCAAAAAAATCAAATGGATAAAATTGGGCAAAACGGATCAACTTATGCTTGTCAAAAGCAGAGAATGAATTACTTGAATCTAAACATGTCATACAAAGAAGCAGCTCAGTACTAACCTCAGCAAAACGAGTGTTAAGTTCTTGAAGTTTCATATCTATCACTTTATAAAACAATTCAACTCGATAGTGATGCAAATTTGTCATGTGCTCAACTCTCCGTTGTGGACGCCTTCGAATTGCAAACATATCATCCATATTCAAAATGACAACATCATGTTTTTTGCAAAATGAAGAAACTTCACTCAACAAAGATTCCCATCCTTCATCTCTCAACAATTGGAACTGTCGTTTGGAGACTTTGACTTGGGCCATAACATTTACAATATCTTGATTTTTTCTTTGCAATGCTTGTGACAACTCATTAGTAATTGCCAATATATTTTTTATCATATGCAAGTTAAATGCAAAATCAAAGGAATAGATTAAATCTAATAGATTTCATGCTTCACCCCTTTGTTCAGGATTTAAATCATCTTCTTCAATAACCTCAAGCACATCACCCATAAAGGAGAATAAAAGTATTAAATTGATCAGCTTTCTATTGTAAAAATGCCCAAATTTCTCCCCTTAGTTACGTGCAAACCTATCAGTTTGTATTCCTTTCATTTTTACTCTCAATAAAACTTTTAAAAACTAACAAATCTTCCTGCATAAAAAAAAAAAAAAAATCACAAACAACATATAATAAATATATTAGGATTAAAAACGGGATTTTATAAAAACAAAATCCAAACTTACCGTGGGGGCCGAGCCGTTTTATTCTTAAAATCTTAAAGTTTTATGGGGACAAAATTTAAATAAATATAAATATAAATATAAAATTTAAAATCTTTAAAAAATTGAGTGGGGGCCGTGGTCCCCAGTTGTCATTCATTAAATCCGCCCCTGTTTGCAAATCAATATTTGGAAAGTCAAACCAGATTGTATCGTAGAATACGACGCAAGTAAAAATGATAGAAGAACTATCAGTTTGAGAATTTCACAGTTAGTTAGAGGAACAATATATTTCTTCTTACATGTACCATGATTGGTCCAAAGAAAGTCGTCATTGCATGAACGATATTTGATTCAACGATCTTTTGTGAGGACTGAATCACAAGTAGACATGGTTGGGGCAGAATTACTTTCGAACAATCAAAGGTCATGCTGTGGCCACCATTATTAACCGATTCTAGAACCGTGGCAAAAACAAAATTTGTGGAAAAGGAAAGATATTCAGAGGAGGATGTGTTGAATTTGGATGGGAATGTATAAAAAGAATGACTAGTTTGTTGGATATGGTTCATACTTTGCATGGTCTTGACCCTTACGCAAACGCATTCGGGGTCCCGTTCCCTTCACATTAAGTCCAATTAGTAATTGGATTTGTTATTGTTTTACTAATATTTGGGTCTGGGTCTGGGTCAAGTTAGATTTGGGTAGACCCAAATGCGGTAAGGTTTTCTTTCTATTATATAATATAATAACGAAAAACCTAAGGTTACAAAGAAATAGAGAGAGTGAGTTGCCGTCAATTATTGATTTATAATTGCTGCATAGTTCTAAAACTCAATAAAAATCTCTATTTAAATGCTAGACGTAGTTCCTTAATCGGAGCAAACCAGGATAAATCAAGTGTCCTTTATTTACTTTTCTGTTTATTTTATTGCGTGTGTTTGGCTGGTGTTTCAAGATAGTTTGCCTCTAGAAGTGTTGGTTAGCTACAATAGATTGTTGGGGTGGATTTCTAAGAATTCACCTGGATGTAATTTGGTTTCATGGAAGCCATTATTGTAGATGAACTCATTTTCATTTTGAGATGAGCATAAGAAAATGAAGGATAAGTTGAAAAACGTCCAAAGGTAAATTGATTTAAGACCCGTTGCCATCACCCAAAAAAAAAAAAAAAAAAAAAAAGTGAAAAGTTGGTCTTTTGTGGAGAGAAAATAGGTTTTTCTGCTAGTTTGATTGTTTTAGATTCCTGAGAGATGTATATTTGTTATTTAAAGTACTTTGAAAAGATCATACACCTCTCTTATACTGTAGTCTTTGGAGTACAGGAATGGTGGAGAAACTGCTAACCTGCTAGCTCAGGAAACTGATAGGAGCTTGAAAATACATTATTATTTAGTGATTTATTAAGATTTTTTTGTGAAAAAATTAGTTTAAATTATGGAATTTGAGTTAATTATTTCATAAATATCTTTTATGAATCACGGGGCTGTTTTGAGTGTTTTCAGGTTGAAAATGGTTAAAAAGGATATTCAAATGAAGAAAAATGATGTTGATAGAATTTGTGACGAGTAGAAACAAACGGATCAAGACTTGGAGTTGAAACGAGAAAGTTATGGTGCTTTGAAGATGAGATTCGAATCTTGGAATTTTTTTCTAGGATGAACATGCTTCAATGTTTTGATCATAACTTGAGCTGTAGAAATTGGAATTGGATGATTCTTGTGGTATTTGAAAGATTATTCAGATAGCTACAATTTTTGTGCTTATTAATTTGTCAAATTCTGAAGATTTCTGACTCCTTGGATGGGAAGAACGATCTGCAATGATGGAGAGTGGGTCTCTATGGGTTGTGTAAAGCCTGGTCTGAATTTCACTTGTTTTAGTTGCATTAAACTTTTTCTTATTCGACCCACAAACCCTAGGACTATAAATAAATGTCTTTAGTTAGTTTTAGAGGAGATTGGAAGGGGAGAAAAACCAGAGAAAGAAGAGAAGCGGCAATTGAGAAGATCAAAACATCCATTCTTGGAGTTTTGGATCATCAATTAGAGTTTTCTTTTACTCTTTTCTTTATCTCATGTTTATTATTTTTACAATGGTTGTTTATTTTCATTCAATTATGAACTAAATAAAGTTTTTAGGGCTAAGATGTAGCCCAATTTATGAATATGTATTGATGGGTTTTTGTTAATATTTGTTAAGCATATCTTTTCTAAGTTTTATAATAGTTTTTAATGTTTTAATTCTTTTAGGCCTGAGAGTTGATTGATTTAATGGACTAAGTTGAGATCGAGAGATGAAATCTAGTTTGTCTAATATAATAAAACCATATATTGAGCGAACGCTAAAGATAAGTTACTGCGATATGTAAGGCTTTGGCAAATTTCATAGAGCGTAATGATCTCTTAAGACTTAAATCCAATTTAGAGATACATTGGGTTAGTAATAAAGGGTTAATCCGATAATTGTTCGAGAGAAAGTTATTGAAATTCTAGAGAGTTTAGCCTATAAAAACAAAACTTAATATTGTTAGCATTAATTGTCAATACATAAGAGTAAATTGGTGTGAAATTTGTGCCATAGGTTTAGTCATATTTACTTACAATCAATGTGTTATTTAAATTCTGCTTCCTTTTAGTTTTTAGTTTTCTTTTAATTTGTTAATTTTAGTTTGATTCATTCTTTAAAGTTTTTATTAATCAACTAGTAATAGAATAGTTTATTTTGGTAGTTGGTAACTATTAATTCTCTAGAGTTTGATATCTGTTTACTTAAACTATATTACTTGCATGATTCCATATGCTTGTAGAACCCCAGTCAGAAACGATGATTTCCGTTAAATAATGAACACGTTTTGGTAGAAGGGAACCGTGCTGCGGCACAATGCTGCAGCACACAAGTAGAAGGGAAGCATGCCGCGGCACACAAGGAAGAAGCTGGAACGAAAATTCCAAAATGCTTGATGCCTAGGCACTGTGTCGTGGCATGGTTTAGAATTTCAATTTTAGATAAAATCAAATTAAGTTATTTTCAGTTTTTATTGCTCTATAACTTCTTGGAATTATTGTTGTAAGTTATTTTTTAGTTAAGCTTTTAAAACCTTAAAAAAGGAATGTTAGATGTATGTATTAATTGAGTTCAATGAATATAATTGTTCTTCTTTTACACAAATTCATCTCTCCTTCTTTATCTTATGAAATTAGAAGCCTGAAAATTGATTTTATTGGCTTCTAATTTCCAACAATTACAATTCAAGGATATAAACTTATTCATATTACTCAATGAATTCTGGAAGAAGTAAAAGTGAGCTGCTACGAACAAATACTAAGAACCAATGTAAATTAAGTTTATGTCGAGCCGATCGTCACAACAACAAAATTAAATCTATATACCGTAGTTAGCGGTAAGCATGGTCAAATCCACAGGGAGCGAAGACTGACAACCTAATACAAATTTAAGTAACGAAAATGAAATTGACAATTTGATTAATTAAACTAAACAAACTAAATGCAAATAACAAAAGTTTGAAATTAAAACTAATGAAGACTTTATAATAAAAACGTTGCCGCTATGGTTTTGGTTCGACACGAGATCAACTCACACAATTCTCCTCCACCCTCTACGATCCCCTAAACCTACAAGGCAAGGTAAATCAATGAAATGGCTTTCCGACACTCTAGGTATAATTTATCCTGTCTCACCCGATCACTCAAGTTTGATTGGTTAAAGATTATCATTGAAGACAAACACTACAAGATAATACCACTAATTGGTACGTGATTAACAAATACAATTTGTCAACACGTATTATCTAATCAACCAACTTCACAATAAACGCAACCAGAGTAGAAATGACATTAAATTCGAACACAACTCAATTACAATCGATGCGAAGTAATGAAAAGCAATATTCATCATTTAATTATCTCAAACCAACGTCTATCATTCAGTAAGTTCTATAAAAACATTTAATCACAATGGACAACTATATTCATCACAAATTATGTTCAAATTATATTAAAGTATCGAAATCAAACATGAAACAAAAACAAATATAATTCAAAACATAATACTACCAAATGTCCTACAATCGGGCTTATCCAACTAGTAGAGAGCTAATGAGGAGAGCAGTGGAGTCAATCTCGATCTTGCCTACACCGTAACAGACAACCGGGAACTCAATCGGCTCATGGTGGTGTCGACAGAGGCTGGAGCGATGGAAACTAAGCTGGTCATGCTGAAGAGGAAGTAACCGACAGTGAGATGATGTGAAGAAAGAGCAAAAACGACCAACGGACAGCCCGGAATACGAACAGTTGTACTTGCCAAAATACGTCAGCTTTCCAGCAGGTGTTTCGGCAAATGATGGCAGAAATGAAATCCGAAGATACCAATAGAAAGCTTAGGCGATGGGGAGTTCGAATCAGTTCCAGGGGAGATGAAAGGTCACTGGAAAGTAAGCGAAATCGTGGTTGGAAGGTGAAGAGGCGCAGCGGTGGCGATGGCAAATTGTAGCGTTTTAATTTCGCAACAGCTGAAGCTTGGAATGGATAGATCTAAGTGTGGTGAAGGTAGATCGGCCACCAAGGAAGTGAAAAGTCGCCGGAGGTCACCAGAAAATGGCTCAATGACGGTTGGAATGCGAAACGACACCGGCAAAACGCGTGAATCGCGATGGTAAGTGCGGGATGATGATGATCGGTGAAAGGGGAAGCTAGAACGTCGTCGGCGATCGCTAAAAATGAGAGAGGAAGAGTAGCCGGCAGTGCGTACTGTAGATGGGTGAACGACGCTCCCTGTTTGCGACCCTTCGCTTCCTTTTTATGCAAAAAGTAGAAAATATCCCTTTGGTGCCTACATGATTGAAAAGTGACAAAATCAACCCCTGCAAATATGACAGTTTACCCCCTAAATAGCATAAATGAGACAAAATCATCCCTAATTCATAAACCACAACCTAATATCAACTCATACCCTTTCCAAAATCATTCCAAACATGTTAAATTCATAAGAAAAATATTAGGACGCGATTTTCGTGAATAAATTCATAAATTTTTTAATTATCTAAATATGATTTCATTTTAATCACACATATGCTCTTTTTATCGCCAAAATATAGTCACTCTAATAGTTTATCATTTTGCATAACTATCTAGTTTAATATCCGTCACATCATACATCGAATCTACAACTAATTTGTAGATCACACTGTTTCTCAACTACTTGGTTGGAAAAAACCATTCTTGATTATATGCTAATATCTTGCTTCTTTTTTGGGATGTTATTATAATATTATTTTATTTAAGGAATTAGGTATGTTAATTATTTAAATGTCTTACTTCAAGTCTCAATATACTCCCTTCTAATAACATGATGATGGAATTAGATTAGCTGACCTCATATCTGGACATCAACAATTTTGAATCTTGTGTGTAATTGATAGCTGCGTATTAAACAATTTTAGCTTGAAATTTAGGTAAGAGTATTGCATGGTATTGGCGGAAGTGGTGCCAAGTAAAACCTGGCGGCACAAAATATGTAAAAGTCAATTCATATGCTTCAAGAGTTCAATCCCCTTCTTCAGGTGCACTTGAAAATGAAATTTTGGATCTCCTGTATGTTTTTTAATAGTCTTATTTACAAATCAATATTTGGAAAGTCAAACCAGATTGTCTCACATAGTACAATAACAAGTAAAAATGATACAAGAACTATCAGTTTGAGAAACTCACAGAAAGTTTTAGAAACAATATTTCTTTTTACAGGTACCATGAGTAGTCCAATGAAAGGCTTCATTGCAAGTAAGATATTTGATTCAACGACCTTCTGTGAAGACTGAATCACAAGTAGACATGGTCTGCGCAGAACTATTTTCGAACAATGAAGGAAATGACATTCCACTATTAGAAGCTTCATTACTGTTTGTGAACACATCCATTGAACTGCTATTAGGTGATATATCTGGCAATGTAGCATCGCCGTCCAGATACTGCATCAACTGTCTCATGTTAGGCCTTGCCGCGGGGTTAGGGTGTGAACAAAACAGCCCTAGTTTCAGTACCAACTCCATTTGCTCCTCTGCATAAATACCTTCTAATCTTGGATCACTGGCATTGATGATAGCTCCTCTTTTCCAGCAATTGATTACCCATTCAACCAAATATACCACTCCATAACCTTGTTGCTCTACAGGCCTCCTTCCACAAGCCACCTCAAGCATGAAAGCCCCAAAAGCAAATACATCCGTGCCGGTAGTTGCCTTTCCAGTTCTAATGAGCTCTGGAGCCAAATAACCTACAGTTCCCACAAGGTTAGTGGTTTGCGGATTGCTATCGTGGTCATATAGTTTTGCTAAGCCAAAATCACCTAACCTCCCATTTAGTTCAGCATCTAAAAGAACATTGCCCGGTTTTATATCTCTATGTAGAACAACTTGTTCCCATTCTTCATGCAGGTAGAGAAGGCCAGAAGCTATTCCTCTAATGATTCGAAATCGCTGAAACCAATTAAGATTTGGCTCTGTATTGCTGTATAATAATTTGTCCAGGCTTCCGTTTGGCATATAATCATAGACCAAAATAAATTCTCCCTTTCGCCTGCAATAGCCGCGGAGTTGCACCAAGTTCCTATGCCTTAGCCTTCTCATACTTACTATTTCGGCCACAAATTCCTTCATCCCTTGTTTCGAATCGTGAGAGACTCTCTTGACTGCAATTTGTTCATTAGAAGGAAGGACGCCTCTATAAACCTTTCCAAAACCTCCTTTTCCAATAACCTCTGTGTCCTTGAAACCTTTGGTTGCTTTGTAGAGATTTTTATAGGGGAACCTTTGAGGACCATATTCCCTTTCCCAGTCTTCACATACTTCTTCATATTTCTTCTTCCATACAATGTAAGCAGCTACAATTAATACTATAAAAAACACAGGCACTGCTACTACGATCAAAACAATCATCAGTAGTCCACGTTTCTTACTTGCTTTCCCGTGTGCAGGAACAGGAGGAAGCTTGGAGAAATCAAGGTTTTGTGCTTGTCCGCTTCTGTTGAAGCTCCATCCTAGAATATAATGGTCACTTGTAATTGTGCCAGTTGCTGCTGAGAAACCGACATACATAGAGTCCAAGAAAACTTCAGAAAGATTGAGGGGCGTTGACAAGAGAGGTCTTTCTGGTTTTGCGATTCGAATAGGAGAGAGAGTAACATTGAGTAATTTTTCAGCACCATCGTAGTCTATCCAAACCTGTATTGGATCTCCACTCATGAGCACCAAGCTTTTGTTCTTCCCTTCTTCATTCGAATAATAAGTTGCTGTAGCAGATTCATTAGAAACCAAGCCGTTCACATCAATTCCCACATGGTTTCCATCTATGTCATAAAATTCAGGGCTTTGTACAGTATCAACCTCGACCGCTAAGATGTGGTTTGTAGACAGGCCATCGTTAGTAGTGTTGAAGAGCCCCAAATATGAAGTTTCAATAGCCTGGCTGAAGTCCATCGAAGGTGAGATGACAAAAGCTATGCCATGGCCACCAATATTAACCGATTCTGGAACTATGGCAAAAACAAAATTCGTGGAAAAGGAAAGAGATTCAGGGGAAGATGTGTTGAATTTGAATGGGAATGGATAAAAAGCATGACCTGCTTGCCTCTCAGAAGTGTTGGTTAGCTGCAATAGACCATTGGGGTGGATTATTGATATTTCATCCAGTTGTAGATTGGCTTCATGGAAGCCATTATTATGGATGAACTCGTTTTCATTTTGAGATGAGCACAAGAAAATAAAGGTTAAACTGAAAATCATCCAAACATAAACTGATCTAAGAGCTGCAGCCATCACTGAAAAAGGAAAAAAAAGTTGAAAAATATGACTTTTGTGGAGAGGAAAAAGGTGTTGCTGCTAGTTTGGTTGTTTCAAATTTCTGAGAGATGAATATTTGTTTAAAGTAAATTGAAATGTTGATGTATGTCTATGATAGTGTAATCTTGGACTGCAAGAACATAGGAGAAAATATTGATCTGCCAACTCAGGATTTCAATTCAAGGGTCTAAACTGGATTCACATCACTTAATGAATTCCAGAAGAAGTAAAAATTGATCTTCTAACCACCACTGGGTGGTCCACTAGTCAACTAAGACTCTTGGGTATATTACTTAAGAGATTTCGGGTTCAAACCACCTGAGTTGTTAATAGGGATGACCACTGAGGGAATTTATTCAGCTATCAACTTCAGGACCCTAAGGATTAGTTGAGGTGCATGTAAACTGATCCAAACACCATGGCCACAAAAAAAAAAAAAAAAAAAAAAAATGATCTTCTGCCAACAAATACTAACGACCAATATAAGTCAATTTTGTCATTTTTCATGACTATCCAAGTATATAAAGAAACGAATTCAAACCAATTTGTAGATATCCTGTTCTTCAACCACTTGGTTGAAAACAAACCACATCTTTGTTGTATGCTAATATCTTGGTTTTTTGGATGTTATTCTAGTATTATGAAAGTTTAGAGTATAAAACTAACGGATTAAAAATAACTAAATTAAACAAATAAATAATGAGAAGAACTTTGCAATATTAATGAAGTTAGGGTACATATTTCCCCCTAATTATGCTTAACAACTACTTTTAATAACCGTTCGTGCTATGAATTGGTAGGATTCTTCTAAGACTAATTATCCTTATTCAGGTATAATATTCAACTTAATACAGATTCCTATTTGGTTACTCTGAAATTAAGAAGCATAAATTCATCAATCTCTTAGGACTAATTCGCCCTATTCGGTTATGAATTAGATGGACCACAAATTACTTTTAGAGTCTCTATTTGATTACTTCTAGTTTTAATATGTTGTGCAATGTTATTCCCATAAAACAATTATGAATATGAATTAAGCAATAAACCCTAACTTCTCTATTCAAAACATCAACAAGGCAATTGAATCAATCCAATATTCATAAAGCATTAAACCTAAACTCTTGCATAAATTCATAAACATAAATCTGGTATTAAGAATAAAAACTGTTCAGAATATAATTAGGGTTTCATCCTCCCCTAACAAAAGAGATTTACTTCATCCTAAGAACAAAGGAATAAATAGAGAAGAAAGAAAACATATTCAGACTTGAAAATAAACAAAAATCAAACTCTTACATACGATCTTTAGTCTTCAAGCCTCAAGAATGCGTATTCTCCTTTAAAAAATATGCAAAATTCGTCCCCTGACAACTAAGCTTAATTATACTTAAATACCCAAAAGAGTCATCAATGAAAAAAGAAAGAAAAATTGACAAAAACGCCCTAATAGTTTTCGCCACAGCCTTGGCCATGGCTAAATTTAAGTCACCACAGCCTAGGTCATAGTGCTTTTTGGTCTCTTTGTTTTATCTTAATTCCACCACCATGGCCATGGTGAACCACCAAGGCATGGTCGTGGCCTTCAAGAATGTTAGGTAGTCTTAACTTCTTCAAACTTTAAGTCTCAATTTCATTCCAATGCTTCAATCTACTCAATCAAAGCTTGAAAAACACAAAAGCCATCCAAATCAATAGCTAACTATTCATATCTCAAACTTAAGAAAAACTAACAATAAAACAAAGAAAACAAATGAGAAATTAACTAAACTAACATCAAAACAACCCTAAAAACACTCAAATTATGCCACTTATCAGTGAGCACCAATCAAAGATCAAGAAGACTTTGCGCTGTCCAGAATTTGCCATGTCGCCCCAAGACAAAGAGAATACTGTTGTCACCAATTCAACAAGCTCAAGTTTAGTCTGTAAATGAGTAAGGTCTACACACATGTCCAAGCCTTATATAATTTAAGGATATTTCCTAAGTTATCAGCCAATGGGACGCAAGGAAGGACTTGCACAACACCTACCCACTTGCAGACTTGCAATCACTATCTTGAATTTAGCAGCTATAAATAGAAGACTTCCCCTCACAAAATCGAGATCTCGGATTTTCATAAAAGTAAATAGCAAAGACAACCTACGGGAAAGAGACTAGCTTAATATTCTCTTTGAATTCCAAGCTCTTGTACTTATGTTCGCAGTTTGCGACCTATTGTAACTTGGCTTATAACCAAGAACACTCATATAAAAGAAAACCGTGGATGTATGAATCGCTCAAGCATCGAACCACTATAAAATTTTCACTGTCTCATTTACTATTTAGTCTTTGCATGTTATTTTGACCTTAATTCAAATCTCAAGTCAATCACGTGTAATTTTTAAGACTTACTTAACACTTTATACATGTGATGCCGTTGTTGTCAAAATCACGCATCAACATTAATCATTTAAAATTTATGTCTATTCAAGCTCATATATAGTCCATGATGACGGGAATTAGACAGCTCACCACATTTGTTGTTAATCTTGACAGCAATAATTTTGAATCTAGGGCCTTGATAGCTGCGTATTTACAGTTTTAGCATGAAGTTAGGTAGAGTATTGCAAGGCTGAAATGGTTACTGAAAGTAAAACCTGGCGGCTCGATGTACAATCCCTCTGCAGGTGCACTGAAAATGAAGGTTTGGATGTTTTGTATCCTTTATTTGCAAATCATTATTAAAAGTCGGCCAGCCTTACTTCTATAGGTTGGAACTTTCAAAGATGGTGGCTTTTGTATAAATTGGATTCAACGCAAATACTTTTCCTATTTTTGTTCCGATGAGACGGAAATTGTTAGGTGATATTACAATCAAACATAAGGAAATTATGGATTACTTTGTGCTTCAAATCTCACTTGCATTAGCAGAATATCCCCAACAGTTTATTTAATTCGAATATGCAGAATATAATGGGCAGAGATGCCAGACAAAATTTAATCTTTTTACATTAAATTATTAATTTAATCAAACTCCTTTTGGATAAAACTACTACAACACAGATATTTCTTGATTGTCTGTTATGAGGTCATAGTATTTTCATGGTTAAATGAAAGCTACCTCTCCTGACATTGATACGGAGCCATTTGCATTCCAGTAATAGCAAACTAGAACGCAAAAATGATGTCTATGAAACAGAAAACAAGATTGTTTTACAGAATACTTCGTTGAGTTTAATTAGAACTGTTGGTCCAGATGGTTCAACTGGAGAGTGATAAAGGAGAGAGATTTTTCAATGAAAAGGGACGGCTGCAATTGTAAATGAGTGCTCTGTTTTCATTCATAGAATATGGATAACATATAAACAAATCAGTCCACTGTTCTTACCTAAACAACCTAATGCAGTGGATTAGATTTTACACATTTGAATTTAAAATAATCTTACAACAAAACATGTCTTAATCTCAACTAAACATGTCACAAAGACATCACAATAATATATCAAATTCGGCAGCTTCAACCACTGCACCCGAGCAGAAACTTGAGCACTTGGCGCCAAAAAAACTGTTTAAAACCTTAACTGAATAATTCTGCATTTCCAGCAAATTATCACCATCTTCAACAAGAACACAAGTAATGTTACCAGTTATCAAAATGCACAGAAGTTACATGAGCAGAAAATATCTCACTTAGTCATTGCATTTTTTTCTCCACTCCCCAGCCATGAATGGACCAAAGATCAAGCCATTGCATAAGAAATTCTTGATTCAGCGACCTACTGTGAGGATTGAATCATTTGTAGTCGTTGTGTAAGAAGAACTACTTCCCACCAATGAATGAAATGACACAACATTGTCAGGAGGTTCGTTGACAATGCTACCAGGTGGTGTATTTGGTAACATCGCACCACCATCCAGATACTGCATCACCTGCTTCACGCTAGGCCTACTTTCTGGGTTAGAGTCTGAACAATAGAGGCCTAGTTTCAAAACCAATTCCATTTCCTCCTCAACGTATATACCTTCCAATCTAGGGTCACTAGCATCAATAATAGCTCCTCTTTTCAAGAAATCTGTGACCCAATCAACCAAATCTTTCTCTCCAGGCTCCATAGCCATAGGCCTCCTTCCACAAGCAACCTCGAGCATAAAAGCTCCAAAAGCAAATACATCTGTGCTGGTGGTTGCTTTTCCAGTTTTAAGAAGCTCTGGAGCCAGATAACCTATGGTTCCTACCAGGTTGGTGGTTTGTGGGTCGCTGCCTTGATCATATAATCTAGCGAGGCCAAAATCTCCCAACTTCCCATTTAGATCGACATCTAAAAGAACATTAGCAGGCTTTATGTCTATACGCAGAACAATTTGTTCCCACTCTTCATGAAGGTAAAAAAGGCCAGAAGCTACTCCTCTGATAATCCGGAACCTCTGATAAGATTTTGTCAAGGCTTCCATTAGGCATATAATCATAGACTAATAGAAGTTCTCCCTTTCGCCTGCAATAGCCAAGGAGTCGTACCAAATTCCTGTGCCTTAGTCTTCGCATGCTTACAATCTCAGCCACAAATTGCCTCATCCCTCCAACTGAATCATGAGTGACTCTCTTGACCGCAATTTGCAAATTAGAAGGAGGAATTGCACCTCTGTAAACCTTTCCAAAACCTCCTTGTCCGATGAGCTCTTTGTCTTTGAAACCTTTGGTTGCTTTGAAGAGATTCTTATAGGAGATCCTATGAGGACCATATTCTTTTTCCCAGTCTTCATTTACTTCTTCATATTTCTTCTTCCTCACAATGTAAACGGCTGCACCAATTGTTATTAGCACAACTACAGTAGCTATAAGGGAAACAACAGTTGTACGATCTAGTACTTTATTGCTTGCATTTTTGGGTGGCGGAGGAGATGGAGGAAGCTTGGAAATATCAAGGTTTTGAGCTTGCCCACTCCTGTTAAAGCTCCATCCCAGAATATACTGGTCACTTACTCGTGTACCAGTTGATGCAGAGAGACCAACATACATGGAGTCCAAGAGAACTTGAGAAAGATCAACGGGTGTTGACAAGAGAGGCCTGTTTGGTTTTGGGATTCCCAAGGGAGCTAGTGTTACATTGAGGAACTTTTCAGCTCCATTGTAGTCTATCCAAATCTGAATTGGGTCTCCACCTGCTAGCTGTAAGCCTATGTTCTTCCCTTCTTTGTTGGAAAAATAAGTTGCTGCAGCAGATTCATTAGACTTCAAGCTGTTCACATCGACTCCCACATGATTTCCATTTATATCCTTAAATTCGGGGCTTTGTACAGTGTCAAGCTCAACTGCCAGGATATGATTTGTAGGCCGGCCATTGCTTGATGCATTGAACAGCCCCAAATATGAACCAGCAACAGCTTCCCTCATGTTCTTAGATGGTGAGATGAAGAAAGACATGCCATTGCCACCAAAATTAAGCGTTTTTGAAACTATGCCAAATACAAAAGTTGTGGAAAATGAAAGAGATTGAGGGGATGATATGTTGAATTTGAATGGGAAAGGGTAGAAAGCATGGCCTATCTGTAACTCAGAAGTATTGGTTAGCTGCAATAGACCATTGGAGTGGATCTTTGCGATGCCATCCAAATCCAGTTTTGTTTCACTGAAACCATGATAGATGAATTGGTTTTCATCTTGAGCCAAGGCCAAGGAAAACAAGGATAAAATGAAAATTACCAAAAAATTGATTGATCTATGAGCTGCAACCATTGGGATAACAAATCTGAAAATCCTGATAAATTAGTTTTCTTACCCTGAAGATACTTTTTCAGAGTTAAGGTTAATTATCATCTACAAAGAGAGTAAGATTAATCACGTCGATCCTGGAAGTCATGGACAACTGATGACCCAAGAAAATGACCCCTGCTTAACCAATTTAATGTTCTTAACGTTGTTTATTTGTCTCTAGACTTCAATCAATTCAAGGTTATAATTAATGCAGATTCACTGCTTCCCAGCTTTTTAAAAGTCACAGTAAAAGACCCATCTTATGGGAACTCTGAACTGCAGTAATCTGTTAAAATGATCCTGTAGGCCAGAATCATGTCATGTTCAAAGAAGGAAATTCACAAATTACTTTTCAAGTTTTCCCCTTCAAAATTAATAGATAAAAAAAAATGATGTGAATTATGCTGAATTCAATGACAGGACTAACATAAGCATAATAATATCTCCCAATAGAAATTCTTCTTTTTGATTGATAAAACAGAAGTTGTGTTGTCCGTTTTATGTAGGGGTGTGCAAAAAAATCCGATATCCGATATCCGGTATCTGATCTGGATCTGTTCTGCTCTGAAAAAAACTTGATATCCAAAAATCCGGATTGGATTTGGATCAAGTATATAGGAAGATCCGGATTTTCGGATCGGATCAAGACTCTTGTGCTTCCAAGATTTAGGGGTTCTGATTCTGATTTGTTTTATTGTTTGAACTTTGAATAATGCAACTATACCTCTTTTGCTTTCACAATGGGTTGAAGTTTCAATGCAAACAAATTCAAGGAATCTTAAATCACCATTGACTTTGAGTTGGCATGCAGCCTGCATCAAACTTTGATTCAACTCTTAAAACACGTGTATGACCGGAGCCGTATTTTAGCATAGAAATTAGGTACAACCGTAGAAGCGAAATGTGGGATGTCTACTTCAATTCCTCTCCATGGGCTCCAAAGCTTTAAAGAGATTATATTTACATTTCTATAGCTCATTCACCTGTATTATTGAATGGTGCTTTAAAGAGATGATATTTACGCAATAAGTAGGCATGACAAGTTCGTTTATTACTAAGAATATCTAAAGCCCCAAAGTGCAGAGCATCTCTCCCCGGTTCCAAATTCAATGATCAAACAGATGCCCACATTTGCATTCAATGAAACGAAGTCATTGCTTCCTGATGATAGCCACGTCAAGCGTAGGCCCGGACCAGCTTTGTCTAAGGAATTTTAACAAACAGTTTCTGAGCATAAAATATATTATAGGGGGACATGTCGTATGGAAGGATAGGAGCTTCGAGTTGGAAGAACATATCGTGACATATGGTATATAGAAGGATGCGAGCTCCGCCTTGGAAGGAAGTGGGCCATTGATGCTTTACATCGAGTATCTTTCTTTGGGGCAAAGATATGAACGACAAATAATCCTTACAAAGGCACAAGAAGTCGTCCTAGAAATGAATGAGATATCATTCGCAGCGGTTAAACAAAGGCGGCATGTCGTCTTTAAGTAGAACCATGCCTGTTGGCCACTTGCTTTGCATTCTATATTAGCCATTAAACTGGTTTTTTTTTTTTTTTTTTTCTCTCTCTCTCAGAAATGAAGGGTTCTGAACTGGCGTAGCTGAGAGGATAGAAATTATGTGTTGTGTAATCCTGAGATGCTGACATCTAAACTCCAAGATATATCATGAGGCTAGTATATGATCTTAGTTAGAAAAAGTCATTGTAATGTTACACATCTTAATTGATATGCCAGATTTTGTATTCTAGGTGATGCTTTATCTTATATTGCTAATTCGTATTATAGACAAGTCACTTCAAATGAGATGTTTAAACCACTGCTTGAGATGTGTAATTTCATTCATATTATTTTCCATGAGTACACATTTAAAGTGAAAAAACAAAAAGAGAGACAAAGAAAGAAACCACGAGACCTTAACCAAGGCAAAAGATATTCTTTATGAACAAAAAAGGATCATACATATGAGATTAAACTTAAACTCTTTTATTTGTTTTGTCTTCTGCAGCTTTATGACCCTTGATTAGGCACAAGCACTTGTCTACTGTTAATGTCAGTTTTTCTGGGCTTGCATGAATCATGGACTAAGTAGTCACCTTTTAGATGAAAGACGTATACATGTAACTCCAAAACGATAGTTGCTTCAACGACCTTCTATAAGAATTGATTCAACAGTTGACATGGTGTGAGAAGAACCCCTTTCCAACAATTCAGAAAAATTCAGCATAACATTAGAAGCTTCATTACTTGCGGTGAATGCAGCAATCAAAGGGTCATCAGGTGTTATATGTGGTAACATGACATCACCATCCAGATACTGCATCACCTGCCTCATGCTAGGCCTAGCTGCTGGGTTTGGATGTGAACAAAACAGGCCGAGTTTCAGAACTAACTGCATTTGCTCCTCTGCGAAAAGACCTTCCAATCTTGGATCAGTAGCATCAAGAATATTTCCTCTATTCCAGCAATCAATGACCCAATCAACCAAATTTAGGTTTTCAGGATCTATAGCCATAGGCTTCCTCCCACAAGCTACCTCAAGCATACAAGCCCCAAAAGCAAACACATCTGTGCTTGTAGTAGCCTTCCCAGTCCTAAGAAGCTCTGGAGCCAGATAACCCAAAGTTCCTATCAGGTTTGTGGTTTTTGGATTGCTACCATGATCATAGAACCTAGCAAGGCCGAAATCCCCTAATTTTCCACTTAAGTCAACATCTAAAAGAATATTACCAGGCTTTATATCTCTATGCAGAACAACTTGCTCCCCATCTTCATGAAGGTAGAGAAGGCCAGAAGCTATTCCTCTGAGAATTCGAAATCGCTGAAACCAATTAAGGCCTGCTCTTGTATTGCTATATAACATTTTATCAAGACTTCCGTGAGTCATATAATCATAGACTAATAAAAGTTCCTGTCTTCTCCTGCAGTAGCCACGGAGTTGTACCAAGTTCCTATGTCTCAGCCTTCCCATGCTGACTATCTCGGCCACAAATTCTGACATCCCTTGTTTGGAATCATGGGAGACTTTCTTGACTGCAATTTGTTCATTGGAAGAAGGAAGTACACCTCTATAAACCTTTCCGAATCCTCCTTCTCCAATAAGCTCTTTGTCATTGAAACCTTTGGTTGCTTTGTAGAGATTCTTATAGGAGAACCTATGAGGACCATATTGTCTTTCCCAGTCTTCCAATAATTCTTCGTATTTCTTCTTNAAGATTGAAGAGCCCCAAATATGCACCTGCGACAGCGCCAGTGAAGTTCATAGACGGTGAGATGAAAAAAGCCAAGCCATTGCCTCCAAAATTAACTGCTTTTGAAACCATGGCAAACACGAAAGTTGTGGAAAACGAAAGGGTTTGAGAGGAAGATGAGTTGAATTTGAAAGGAGAAGGGTAGAAAGCATAACCGCTTTCAAGCTCAGAAGTGTTTGTGAGCCGCAATAGACCATTGGGAAGAATCTTTGCCAAGCCACCCAGTTGCAGTTTCGAGTTGTTGAAACCATGGTAGATGAACTGGTTTTCTTCTTGAGCCAAGGCCAAGAACAATGATAAATTGAAGACTATCCACAAATAAAGATATTGAGCTGCAGCCATTTAGAAAATAGATCTGCTTTTTGTAAAGAAGAGTTTATTCTTTCTGTTTAGTAGTCTTAGACTCCTAATAGATCAGTTTTCCTTGTCTTAAGATACTCTTGCAACTCAAGGTTAAGTTGTTAAGAGAGAGAGACAGTAATCAAGTTGACCCTGTAAGTTATAGTCAGCTAATGACTTAAATAAATAACCACTTGACATTTCCAATCTTAAAATATGATCTTCTGTATTCATCTAATTTGTAAAAGAACTTCTTCCTTTTATCCTTTGTAAACCTTTTCAGTGCAGGATGAATGAAAGAGGATAGACCTTGTTAATGGGAACCTGAGCTCAGATTATCTGTTAAAAAGTCTACTCTATGATAGTTTTGAGAGTGTATGACAGATGACAATTTTTTAATTATTCCTTCTACTTGGTTTTTAATTCTAGTAATGTATGAAAGAGAGAATAAGCTGGTAGAAGTCAGCCTTGGTTTTCATTTTTTATTTTGCCGGTCTTCTGTTTGAAGTTTCTAGTTTGCTGATTAATATTTTCTTTTTAATTTTTTATTGTTTGAACTTCAAAAATGCAGGAATAACTTAGTGCCTTAGTTTTCAGCATGGTTTGAAGTTTCAATATGGCAGAGAGATGGGCAAATATAAAACTAGATACACATCAGTCTTCTCACCTAACACAAAAAAAAAAGTTGCAAATATGTGTTTGTTAAATGAATGATTCCAAGAGGTCTAAGCAGAAGGGATAATGATATATGCAATAATCAAATCGATTGAAATATAGCATAACCTGTCCTCTTCATGGAATTAGTCACAAGTTACACACATCAAGCTCATTGCATGCAGCCTTTCTCAAACTTTGATTCAAACTGAGATATGATAGGAGCCACGTATGAAGCTTAATATTTTAGCAAGTAGAAGTCCATTTTGGGAGATGAATTATTCATCTGTCTTCTTCCTTTCCACAGACTATGGTTGTGTTATCATGTTGTTTGTCAATTTTGGGAGCTACTACATTTCATGTAACGCATTTCGAGCGGAAGGCCCCAATGATAATGAGAACAACCCATGGGAATTTTAACGAACAAGTTAGGAGCGTAGAATATTTTAAAAAATATGAACGTGGAAACATAGTGAGTCAACGAAGAGCAGATGATGGGGATTTTAAGATTAGCCGTTGAAAATTAGAGCTAGACATCTTCCTTCTAGCCACTAGCCATTGAAAATAAGCCCAAAAGACTAGTCGTCTATCAGAACTTAAACTACACGACATGGCATCTACAAAAATCAGACATGAACGGTACATAAAAACGCTACGTCGTTTNATGAATTATGTACTGTTCATGTCTGATTTTTGTAAATGCCTTGTCGTACACTTTAAGTTTTGATAGAAGATTTGACTATTGGGTATGAACAGTACATAAAAACGCTATGTCGTTCAAGGAAACAGAAGACAAATTGTAGTTGAAATTTTAACATAAAATGGGGAAGGGGAATATGAGAAAAAAGTCAAATTTTATAGGCTAACCATTCTTAGCATTTAATGATTGAATAGTTGAAAGAGTAGATAATTGCCAGCACGTTGTCCAGCGAGAAGGTATATTATATGCTACTTGTGAGTTGTGACCCAATAATCATGAATGTTTGGAATCAAAATTACGAAACAGAAGATCAATTTTGCTAATTTGAATGCATTACAGAGATAAGGAAACATTTACATCCTAAATCTCGTTCTCAGCAAATTATGTACAGTGACAAATCAATTGTATTACATGCCAAAGAGAAACTAACTAGAGGACTCGCCCCTGTTCCACGCATTAGTTAAGGTATCAAAATGCTGATGGATAATGTCATGTCTTACCAAGAGTCCTTTTGCATAAAACTAATACAACATTATTGATCAAGATGATATTATGCTGGAAACTCATGAAGGTGGTCACGTTTTTGGAGTGTGGAGTTGCAAGTTTGGCGGCAAAATTTGAAGTTCTGCGGGTGTTTTGGCTGTACTGTAACTCAATGGAGCTGAATTTATTTGATTAATATATTGTACAACTTAGGTAAATTCAGCTGTAAATCTGCTGTTGATTAGGTGTTTATGTAATGTGATGTGTTAGGAGTTGTTAGCAAAGTATGACTCATGATTAGGTAAATCATTGCACATTGTTATTTTACCTGGCATCTAATATTTAATTTGTCTAATATTGCTCTGGAGTAATGTATTCTTTTTGGTGGATTTGTTATTGTGTCTGTTTGAAAGTTTAAAATGCCAACAGAAGGATATCTGAAATGTTTTAAACATCTATGACGCAGTAGACATTATAGAATGAACGGATTGGCAGTGGAGGATCAGTCCGAGCTAGGCTCAACCTCTTCGGGCAGTTGCCTGAAGAAATTTAGTACATGTTTGAGATTTTCGTAGCTTATACATTAGTCACTTCATAATCTACAATAAGACTATGAGTAAGAGTGGTATGTGATTAAGTTTTAAGCTACAACAATCTCAAATGGGCCCTTAGTTCAAGAATCACCTACAATATTGAAACAAGACTGTGAGTACGAACCAAAATAGTTAAAATTACTAAATTGTTCTCACATCTTTTAAGGCAAACCATGACACTTGATTATGACCTCTGGGATTACTTTTTAACTTTTCTTGGTTATTTTATAGCTATTCTAACATAGATATGGAGCCAGCCGCGTGTTCAATTGAAATCAGGTTGACTTACAGAAGAGAGTAGCAAGTAGAATTAATACAAGAAAATACAAGAACTACCAGTTTGAGAAATTCTCAGAAAGCTGTAGATTGGTCCAAAGAAAGCCGTCATTGCATGTAAAATATTTGATTCAACAACCTTCTCTGAGGACAGAATCACAAGTAGACATGGTCTGAACAAATCTACTTTCGAACAATGAAGGAAACGACATTACACTAGTACTAGAAGCTTCATTACCTGTTATGAACACATCAATTGAACTGCTATCAGGTGATATATCTGGCAATGTAGCATCGCCGTCCAGATACTGCATCACCTGTCTCATATTAGGCCTAGCTGCGGGGTTAGGGTGTGAACAAAACAGCCCCAGTTTCAGTACCAACTCCATTTGCTCCTCTGCGTAAATACCTTCTAATCTTGGATCACTGGCATCGATGATAGCTCCTCTTTTCCAACAATTGATTATCCATTCAACCAAATATACCACTCCATAACCTTGTTGCTCTATAGGCCTCTTTCCACAAGCCACCTCAAGCATGAAAGCCCCAAAAGCAAATACATCTGTGCTGGTAGTTGCCTTTCCAGTTCTAATAAATTCAGGAGCCAAATAACCGACAGTTCCCACCAATTTTGTGGTTTGTGGATTGCTACCATGGTCATATAATTTAGCTAGGCCAAAATCACCTAACCTCCCATTTAGTTCGGCATCCAATAGAACATTACCCGGTTTTATATCTCTATGTAGGACAACTTGTTCCCATTCTTCATGGAGGTAAAGAAGGCCAGAAGCTATTCCTCTAATGATTCGAAATCGCTGAAACCAATTAAGATTTGGCTCTATATTGCTGTATAATAATTTGTCCAGGCTTCCGTTTGGCATATAATCATAGACCAAAATAAATTCTCCCTTTCGCCTGCAATAGCCGCGGAGTTGCACCAAGTTCCTATGCCTTAGCCTTCTCATGCTAACAATCTCAGCCACAAATTCCTTCATCCCTTGTTCCGAATCGTGAGAGACCCGCTTGACTGCGATTTGCTCATTAGAAGTAAGGACGCCTCTGTAAACCTTTCCAAAACCTCCTTTTCCAATAACCTCTGTGTCCTTGAAACCTTTGGTTGCTTTATAGAGATTTTTATAGGGGAACCTTTGAGGACCATATTCCCTTTCCCAGTCTTCACATACTTCTTCATATTTCTTCTTCCATAAAATGTAAGCAGCTACAATTAATACTATAAAAAACACAGGCACTGCTACTACAATCAAAACAATCATCAGTAGTCCACGTTTCTTACTTGCTTTCCCGTGTGCAGGAACAGGAGGAAGCTTGGAGAAATCAAGGTTTTGTGCTTGTCCGCTTCTGTTGAAGCTCCATCCTAGAATATAATGGTCACTTGTAATTGTGCCAGTTGCTGCTGAGAAACCGACATACATAGACTCCAAGAAAACTTCAGAAAGATTGAGAGGAGTTGACAAGAGAGGTCTTTCTGGTTTTGCGATTCCAATAGGAGAGAGAGTGACATTGAGTAATTTTTCAGCACCATCGTAGTCTATCCAAACCTGTATTGGATCTCCACTCATGAGCACCAAGCTTTTGTTCTTCCCTTCTTCATTCGAATAATAAGTTGCTGTAGCAGATTCATTAGAAACCAAGCCGTTCACATCAATTCCCACATGGTTTCCATCTATGTCATGAAATTCAGGGCTTTGTACAGTATCAACCTCGACCGCTAAGATGTGGTTTGTAGATAGGCCATTGTTAGTAGTGTTGAAGAGCCCCAAATAATAACCTGCAATAGCGCCAGTAAAGTTCATAGACGGTGAGATGACAAAAGCTATGCCATAGCCTCCATTATTAACCGATTCTGGAACTATGGCAAAAACAAAATTCGTGGAAAAGGAAAGAGATTCAGGGGAAGATGTGTTGAATTTGAATGGGAATGGATAAAAAGCATGACCCTTATTTAGCTCAGAATTATTGGTTAGCTGCAATAGACCATTGGGGTGGATTTTTGATATTTCATCCAGTTGTAGATTGGCTTCATTGAAGCCATTATTGTAGATGAACTCGTTTTCATTTTGAGATGAGCACAAGTAAATGAAGGATAAACAGAAAAGCATCCAAACGTGAACTGATCTAAGAGCTGCAGCCATCACAAGAATGAAAAAAAAAAAAGAAAAAAAAAGGTGAAAAGATTTTGTGTAGAGAAACAAATTTTGTTGCTAGTTCGATTGTTTCAAATTCCTGGGAGCTGAATATTTGTTATTTACAGTACATTAAAAGATCAAGTACGTCTC